CTGCAGGGGCGCGCAAGGCCCCGCACCTGCCCTGCTGTGAGGGGTGCTGGGCGGGGGGAGGAGGGCACGCACGTCACGGCGTATGCAAGGGCGTAGGAGTCCTCTCATGGCAGTCCCCAGGCGGTGGTTCCCTTCCAGGAAGTTGTCCCCAGGAGTGGCCCTTGGGGCCTGCCGGAGGCTGCGAGGGAAACGGCTTAACTAAGGGCCTTGGGCCTCCGGGAAAAGCGCCTCAGCGTTGGGAGCGGGTTCCTGGGGTGTTGGGGCCCAGAGCAGCCAGCAGCATCCCTTTGGTCTCCGAACCCCGGCCACCCTGCGTCCTCGGGTCCCACTTGGTCTCCCTTGTGCTATATCCCGCTCCTGCCTCCTGTCAGCCTGGCGCTTCCTCCTCACGTTCCCACACCTCTGTACCAGCCTCCCTGGCATCCCAGACCTTTCAAAAAACCCTATTCCTCCCACCGGTAATTGCTCTCCATCCTTATCCACCCAACACTTCCTTGCGGCTCACACTGCAAGTTTAAACACAGTCCAACCAAAAAATAACCAATAAAAACAACAAGATCCCAGCCACACACAACTGCAACAGCCCCCTTGCTCTTGTGCTGCATTCCTTTCTCCACTTTACCTTTATTCTTCCTCTGTTTTCCATCCTTCACCCCCAGTTTAAAGGTCTTCCAACCTGTAAGGTTTGTGCTTTTATATTTTTTTAATCTTTCAGGCACCATCCACACCAGTTTATATTGATTTTTCTTGTTGAGGGCATTTACCTGTTGGACCATCACTATCCTTACACCTGACATTATAGGCTCTTGCCTCAGGAATTTGACAGACACATGGGTCTGAAAAGGTGCTCCTACCCCATACACCAAGCTGAGTTGTGGTCTACATTTCAGTCAAAACTTTTTGACTCTGTACACTTTGTGGATGGAAGACCACGCTGCCCTAGCCAATGTTTCCTGACAGTATGGATGGGGCAAGGATCCATGCCCACGTGTATCCTCTGCTTTTGCAGTGCCATGGTGCTAATACTGGCACCTAAAATGTGCCAGTCTTTCCTAAAATGGCTGTCACTTCGCCTGCAGACGGGGCAAGATTTGTGCACTACCTGAGCAAGTGTCGCCCCGAGAGGGACACGTGGATACCATCAGCTGAGAAACAGGCCTCTCTTTTCCTGCAACTTGTAAAGCCATCGAGGACAAAGATGATGATGCAACTTCTGGCAGGGAAAGTCTCTGAACTGTTGATTGCCAGAAGCTGGGAAATCTCACAGGAAGGATCACTGTGTCTCGCCTTGGTTTTTTATTCTTCCCCTGAACAAGGATGCTGTTGGAGAAATGGCAATAGGCTCAATGGGCTTTGCTGTCTTCTGTTCCTAGATACCTGATACCTGCAGGCCTGGGGCAGGGAGTGTGGCAGCCCCCGGTGCCACTGCTTGTCCCAAAGAACATCTTCCTTTGTGGATTAAACACATTGGTTATTGCTGTTCCCCAAAAGTAAAAAATACCACAAATTAAATTAAAATCAGATGTTAAACTGTTCCAACGGCAGTGGAAACCCCACCCCTACTTTGCCTACTGCTACCAGCCCTCTCCATCCGTCCTCAGCCTCCTTCATCTCCCCAGGAGGAAACACACAGATTTTGGTTTGGTTTGGTTTTATTCCACCATTTATTTCTTCTGTTTCTCCCTCGGATTTCCATTCCCTTGCTTGGGACACACATACTCATTCTCTAAACAGGCACACATATATCTCTATATACAGTAAGGCACAATCATTCACATCCAGATGGGACACTCTGCTGAGAGAAGAAACAGGGTACAGCAAATGATTGCAGCCTGCCCTGGAATACAAGCTCTAACAAACAGATTAAAATGGATTCAAAGGCAACAATGCTCCACAATATGGCTCAAAAGGACGTGGGGGTCATGTTTGCCAGCAAGCCCGTGCTACGCAGGAGGGTCAACGCCGCTGGCTCTCAGCGATTGACACCTCAGTGCTCTCACCTGGGAAAAAGAAAGGCAGGGCACAGAGCCACTTCTTCCCTCACGATTTTAGAGCTGGTGAACAGAAAGGGGATCTCCCTCAAAACCATCAGGTTTGTAATGCTGCTGTGTTGCAGAGCCCGGCTCGAGGACAGATGTGGGCTGTGTTGTGTAAAATGCTTGTGCCTGTCCAGAGAGACAGGCACAAGCCAAGCCTCCAACTCTGCCCAGCTTAACGTTTGCTAGGAGGAGCTTGGTGATGGATGAAGAGGAGCTGGCTGGTTCTGCCCTTGGTTTCTGTAGCTGCCCCTGTGTTGCTGGGTACTAGGTGGCTGGTGGCAAGTTCGAGCACTGGCCTCTGACCTTTCCACACCATCTAACAGCTAGCTGACTCCTTGGCTGAGCTTTTGGGAAGTCTGGCTCGCAGTCTCCAGCGAGCCCAGACTTCTCCACAGCTCTGTGTCACGCTGTGGACGTGAGCCCCATGGCCTTGAGCCACAGCAGCTTTTTATTCAGTATTGCAGATACAGCTTCAAGCACTACTGTCAGGAAACTGGTCAGGTGAGGGTCTGTTTTCTGTCTTTCCCCAAATAACTTATTTCCTACAGGCAACAAATACTCTTCAGATGTAAAAGCATTTTTGGCTTAGCAACTGCGAGGCCCATGACTTAACTAGTACCCCAAGAGTGAATGCAAATCTAAGTACAATGCCTAAGTACTTAGGAGGGACTGGCTGGCTGACCTTTACCAGTTCATATTCAGTCAGGCCGTATGGCTGGAATCTCAGCCATCTAAGACCTCTTCTTTGACCTACATAAAATTAATCATCTGTTTCCAGTAAGCCAGGATGCTTTCTGCCACGAGCGGCGCTCAGTGGCCACACACCGAAAGTTTCAAAACAGCTTGACGGACAAGCAACCCTTCTAAATCTAGACTGGAGCCCAGAGCCAGATAAGAAAATTTGCCCTATTGACCTACGCAGCACATCTTTTCTGTGCATCAGATCTGTTGCTTGTTACTTTTCACCAGCACTAAAAACACCCCAAAGTTGAAGCACACAGAAAAATTGCCTACCACAGCTGGTTGTTTCACAGATTAGTCAGCTCGACCCCCACTTCAAAGGGATTTTATGCTTTATGAACAATGTCCTAAGAGTTTTCCCCATGTTCTGGGTTCACATTGTCTGCCATACAGCATATATGGAGAAAACGTACTTTTTTCCTACTGTTAAAACATTATTTGCTGAAATTTGAAAACCCAAAATATTTCAAAAGAAGCTACCAAAAAGGCACCATACATGTATGTATGTAATTGACGAACTTCATCTAAGACCAATGCAGGGGAGAAGAAAAAGACATTTTTGAAGCAGGATGAAGGAGCAGAGGGACCAGGAGTGGTGGTGGCTCTTGGCTCCAGGACAGCACGCGTCAGGTCTCTCAGGCCCTGAATATCACTGAGGAACTTCAGTCAACACCTCAGATTTGAACTCTGAAGCGATTGCAAGCCAGTGTCTTGTTCCGACTGTCCCAAAAGATGATGGTGCAAAGCAGAGAGCCAGGGAGTAGCAACTCAGCTCTGGGATGAGTCTGGGCCTCAGGGGATATCTGTATTCTGCTCCTCTCCTGCCACTGAAGGTTTTCCAGTAGCTTCCACCTTGATTGGGTTAGATGGCTCCTATTCACACATGAAGTCTCCTGTGCCCTGATTGGGTATGTCCTTTTGAGAGGGGAAAAGTAAGACATTTATGAAAAATAACCATGGGTTTAAGTAAATACAGTGCTGGGGAGTCTGTGACCTGGGGGCAGTTTGGTAGTTTCCGTGGTAGGAGGGAAAGGCGAGCTGCAGCCTGAGCACGAGCCTGCTTCCTTCAGTCTCTCCTTGCCAAACCTAGGAGGCATTTGAAGAGGGGACAGGTGGTTGAGGTGGAATGAGGTATTTCCTCAGGCAAGGAGGTATTTCCTCAGGCATCTGTGGCTACGTTATCAGTGGTTAGAGAAGACGTAAGAAGCTACATGGAACAAGCCCCACTTTAGCCAGTGGAAATCCTCTTTTATTTCAAATGGCGGAGGCCACTTGAGTGGTTTGCATGCTTCCAGGGCTGATCATGAAACTGGTATGTGTGCAAACTCTATTTTTGCTGGCAAAGCTAACAAGCTAAACACATAGAGAGAGAATATGTACATATGCATGTATATATACAACATGTGCACACACATACATATAAATGTGTATAGAATCATAGAATCATAGAATCATAGAATGTTTAGGGTTGGAAGGGACCACTAGTGGTCATCTAGTCCAACCCCCCTGCAGTGAGCAGGGACACTGCTAACTAGATCAGATTGCTCAGAGCCCCATCTAACCTGGCCTTGAATGTTTCCAGGGATGGGGCCTCCACTACCTCTCTGGGCAACCTGTTCCAGTGTTTTACCACCCTCATTGTAAAAAATTTCTTCCTTATACGTAAGGAGGCATATTGAGATAGTATATACATGGTTACTGCTGGGGAAAAGTGCTTTTTACTGTACGTACTTTCAAATTGCTTTCAAAATAGCAATTGAGCAGGGTGCCTGGTGAGCAGAGCCTCTCCGTGTCACTGAATCCGGAATCGGCTTTGTTTCTTCTCCATCCTCTCTCTCTGTGACACCACCCAGGAGGGCTGGTTGTTTTAAATACCCTGCCTTGCAGCCTCTGCAGGCCTGAGATTTTATACTTTTGAGGTGTGGGGAGCAGCAAAAATGTTGGTGTGTTCTGTCACAGTTGCCATTTTCATTAATAAGCAAAACCCTCTGCTATTTTAGGAGCCATCGTCATGCTGACCCGTCTTACCTGTGCGTCGTGGTTACGCTGTGCCCTGGTCCTGCGTGGCTGACGTTGAAAGCTCACTGGCAGTCCCCATGCCCACCCTGTCCTGCAGC